GGCACGCACGCACACGCGCCCGGAGTGAGTTTTAAGCCACTGGGTCCGGGACACGAACCGCGGTCGACTACGTGGGAGTCCAGCGACACAGCCATTACGCTAACTGCTGGTTCCCCGAGACTGGGACTTTTATGGAGCTAGGAGTGAGGCAGAGAAACGCGGGCTGCCTACCTCTAGGAGCGACAGAGAGCAGGCCCCACGTGGGAGGCCGGCCTCTGAATGGGCCCACTTGCCCCTGCAGAACTCTCAGGCTGGTCCCACTGGCCTGCCCCCTCTGCCGGTAACTCAGCTCCAGCCACTGCTCACCAGATAGCAGCCTCCTCCTATACCTGGTACCACCCTGGCAACCCATGCCACCTGCCAGGCAGCTGCGATGCTCAAAGTGCAGGAGTCGGCAGGACAGGCCTCTGTCAGGTAACACTCCTACATGTTGGCATTTCTACCTGCTGCCCAGGGCCCCCAGGGCCTGCCTGCTCCCAGCCCTTCCTCTACCCCTCCATGCCCAGCTCAGCCCTGTAGCCCACCAGCTCTGGCTGCTGTGGGTCTGCAGCTCCATGTAGCTCCAGGCCTCCACTTTCACCTGGACCTGCTGGTGCCCGGCCTGGTGTGCGTTCCCACTGATGCATCCTCAACCTTGCAAACCAGAGGGCCTCTCCCCCAGGAGGATCCTCCCGTACCCCCAAAGAGGGTTGCAGGCTTTCTGGGGCTCTCTCTCCCTCCTCAGGCCTCTGTGCCTGGCCCTTGTACACTGACATCATCTGGTCGTTAAACTCCTCCCTAATTAACACCCAATCACAGCGAGAGCAGCAGATGAGCCTGTGCAGCAGACCTGCCAGTCTAGACATGCTAGACTCTTTCATGAAAGAGAGTTAACCTTTTATCACATAGAAAGCAAGACTGGGAGGCCCTCTGTACTGCAAATTCGCAATGTCTCTCTTGTAAGAAAAGAGAATTTATTGAGGGTGGTTGGAGCTGGGGACACAAAGGCACCCTTAAATCTCCTTTTCGAGAGGCCCCCAGCCTCAGGGGAGTCTACTAGTGGTCACCGTCCAGAGTGGATGTCCTCTCTCCACAACCCACCTCTGTGCCCCGACCCGGGCCCCCAGCTCTGCAGGATGTTGGGAAAGGGGAGTGGGGCTGGGAGTGCCTGATGGCAGATGTGGCTAACAGCTGACTCCCAGCCTCGGGGCACCTCCCAGGGAGAACTCCCATGAGACCAGACCAGCTTTCCCTTGGTTTCCTTCACCACCAGATGGCTTACCCCGGCAGCGGTCGTTCAGGTATGGGTCCTCTTGCTCCTCCTCGACCTCAGAAATCTTCGCTAAGGGGGAGAGAGAGAGACCAAGGCAGACGTTTAGCCAGTGTCCTGTCTTGTCTTAGAAGAACCTTGTAATGTTTTCGCTTCATGCCACTATCAGGCAGGAATGTCCATTTGTAAATCTCAAAGGAGCCGAGTATTAATTTGATCCCTTTTCAAAGAGAATTACACTCGGAGGGATGGATCTGTAAACCCCGAGCAAGGTTTTGCCTGCCCGAGGCAGCTGCTGTGCGGAGAGCCCTGGTGAAGCCACTGCCACCCTGTCTGACCAGGAGACAAGACCCTCCACTGAGGACTTGGGGGATAAGAAGGAAGGAGAATACATTAAACTCGAAGTCACTGGACAGGATGGCAGTGAGAGTCGCTTCAAAGTGAAAACGACAGCACGCCTCAAGAAACTCAAACTCCGGTTTCTCCCTGAAGGCCAGAGAGTGGCTGAGAGTCACCCTCCAAAAGAACTGGGAACGGAAGAGGAAGAGGTGTCTGAAGCTGATCAGACAAACAGCGGTCATTCAACGGTTTAGATTTTCCTTTTATTATTTTTTCTCTTCTCTCAATTCTTTTTTATTTTTAAAAAATAGTTCTTTTGTAATGTGGTGTTCAAAAAGGAGTTGAAAACCGGCTCCCCATCTCTTTAAAATACCTGAGAATCTGACTCCCAGCGCTCACTCTTGGTTACCATGTCTCACTGGGCTGGCGCCTCGGCCCCTGCACAGTGCCCTCCTCTGTGGAAGCCACACGTGTGCAGACGGGGCACCTGCTCCGGACTCCGCATGTTCAGGCCTGTGGTGGTGGCCAAGGTCGGCCAGTGCGCGTGTTCACAGCGACTTCCGCTTGTGACTGCTTCGCCCGGACTAGGACTTGCAGTGGAAAAATGGAAGTTTTTCAGAGAACTGAACTGTGGAAAAATGACCTTTCCTTAACGTGAAGCTATTTTTAAAATCTGAGGGTCTAGACCAAAAGAAGAGGAATATTAGATTGCAGTCAAGATGACAGATACGGTGAGAGTTCACTAACTCCTAAAGTGGCTTCACTGAAGAGAACGTATTTTAAGATGAAAAAAATCTTGAGAACCAGCAGTTAGCATAATGGCTATGTCGCTGGACTCCCACATAGTCAACCGTGGTTCGTGTCCCGGACCCGGTGGCTTAAAACTCACGCTGGGCACGTGTGCGTGCATGCCCAAGATCCCGAGAGGAGAATGGTGGAGAAGGGATTGCGGCGTGGCCATTCCCCCTGGGGGATGATTTCTCGCTTTCTGTCTCTATGTCTCTCTCTGTCTGTCTGGCGAGTGCACGCACCCTATAGCAAAAAACCTCTCAAAAAAAAAAAAAAAAGATGAAAAATGTCTTGTCCAAAAATCCCAGGAAAGTTCCAGTTCTTCATGCAGAAGTATATACAACAGAACACGGATCTTTTTTATTTTATTTGTACTTTCTGGGATATGGGTTTTAAAAGAACATTGCCTATATCAACTTCATTAAAATGAATAAACAATATTCGCAAAAATCATAAAAAGAGAGAGAGAATTGCACTCATAAATGCAGTTAAATCCCTACAAGGCTTCCGATAACAGAGACAGCCTGCACACAGCAGCCCGCCGGCCTTCCTCTGCCAAGTCTTGCGACACCGTCCAGCGGCTGCCCCCCCT